AAGCGTTAATATGGAATGTTGTTTGAAAGTTATGGGCCTTAAACCCGTGCCTCCCTCGCCTCCCTTGTTTCTTCCATGTGACTGCCCTAAACCCTAACCCTATCAATCTCTCAGCCGCCACCACCTTAACCCCCGGGCATCCCCAGCCGCCGTCGACCTTCTATTGTGAACAACCGTTGCCGCCACGTTCCTTGCTACACGGAACCGCCGAAGCCAACCACCCGCTGCTGTTGCCGGCGATAGAGAAGATCGATGGAGAAAGTGGCCACTGTTACCTCATCCTCTCTAGTAATGGCGCTATCCTTACCCACTCATTTCGCTCTTTCGGTTCTTTACTCCGTTGTTGCCACCGCTGTCCCGTCAACTGTCACATTTGACAGCGATTCTCCGAACACCGCCTGCCACCGCGTGGGTGGCGGTGCTGTGTGTGTTTTGTGTGTGTGTGTGTGTGTGTTCGTACTTCAACCTATGTCGTTGTGTGTGCGCGTTTCAGTTGTTACCATAGGTGTGTGGGTGAGTTGTCGGCTGGAAAGCGCAAGAAGACCACCATGGCAGCCAACCATGGTGGCTACCGACCATCTTACTCCTTATGCCGCCACCAACCACCATGAGTGGTGGCTGTGTGTGTGTGAAATGGTGTTATGTGTGTGTTTATTTCAGTTGAAGTTGTTTTTGGGTGTTGCTTGACCGGAAATTGAAGAAAAACCACCACCACCACCAGCCGTTCTGCCGCCACCAGCCGCCACTTTGGGTGGTTGTGTGTATATATGTGTGTGTTTGGACGGATGTTTGAAATGCTTTATCACAGTTTTGGCCTAAAATCATAACCACCACCACCGTGAGGTGGTGGCTGCCGTTGTGAACCACCGTTGACCACCACTACCCTACGTGGTAGTGGGTGGTGCCCGACTTATTTAACATTAATTAACCTAAAAATTTAACCATTGGAATAACTGGCACGCGATTGGGTTGGAAACCCTAATTAGGGTTTAGAAAACCCTAATTTTGGATATGTTAGTTTTGGAGTTGTCGGGACCCGCACTGTGGACCATTGGAATTGAATTATGAATTACGCCCGACCACACCGTATGACTGACCTAGTAGAATGATGGGCTTAATGGATTAAGTCCTTAATGGGTTAAGTGTTTTTAATTAACCCTAATCGTCATTTTATGTGAAAACCATAATTGTGTTGGGCTTTGCGTTGGCCTTTTTTGTTGGGCTTAGATGTTTGGATTCTGGATGGGCCCTCTAATAACAAGTATATGGACTAGGAAATTTGGATGATCTTTAAGTTAAGGCCCATGTGAAGGGTTTGGTCCCAACATGGAAGATTGGGCCATATGTTGGGCCTTGGTTCATTGTTGGCTTTTGGGCCTTCAGAGTGTGTGTGTTTGGGCCTTGGGCTTGGATCAAGCTAGTTTGGGGGTAAATTAGTCTTTTTACTCCAAACATGGACTGATGGTTATGTATTGGAACCCAATTATTAATTGGGTTTTGTTTTGATGTTGACAGTTCGGGAATCTGTCATCCAGCAGCTAGAGTTATATCCGCGGGATGTCAGCAATGCAAGGTGAGTCTTCTCACTGTTTGTATGGGTCGAAGGCACCAATGCAGGACCATTTGGTTTATGTATAGTAGGAAGACCCGGGGGTTAGCCCTTGGCAATATATATGAAAGACCAGGAGGTGGCTCCTGGCACACTGTATGCTAATTAGCTAAGTAGAGTAGTATGTATGCTAGTTGTCTTTGTGATGCTTGCATGGAAGACCAGGAGGTGGCTCTTGGCACTTGTCTGTAAGACCCATGGGGTGGCCCCCGACTTGGCAAGAAAGACCACGTGGCGGCCCGTGGTATAATGGCAAGACTATGTGCGGCTCATGGCACCTTTATTGATTATGATATATGAATGATATGTATGGTTCACGGTTATATATGGCATGTATGGATCAGTTGATATGTATGGTATGTGGTATTTGGGAAACTCACTAAGCTTCGTGCTTACGGTTTTCAGTTTTGGTTTCAGGTACCTCCAGTTTTCAAATAAAGGAGCTCGGGACGATCCTACGCATACACCTATGTTTTTCCGCAATATGTGATTTCTGGGAATGAACTCTGATAAATGTTTTATTTAAAATGCTTTTCAATGTGTGAACAAAGTTACAATAGTGTTTTGGTTATATTAAAAATGAAATTTTTACCTTGGATTTTTGGGTCGTTACACAATTACACCCCAAAAATTCATTTCTCATTTAAAATGTTACAATATTTTTGTGGTGTACATTGGCAAACTGGCATACAAGAAGTTATCACAAGGATCGCACTGGCCGCAAGTACAGGATCGAGCCGGGCGTCACAATAATATACCTGCAAAATAAGTCATCATAACAGCATAAGCCTCACGACTTAGTAAATAACATCTAGTAAAACATAATCAAATAAAACATATAATCATATAATGATCCATTTTTTAAAATTATGTAGTAATTAATCGTTTATCAGTTAATGGTATTCTCATAATCAATTTCTCAGCAATAATCTAACACTCTTCCATAATCTATTTCTAAATCAATGATGTATTTCTCAGTTAATGATTTATCTCTTAATCAAGATCTAATTCTCATCAATAATTTATCTCTCAGTCATAATGTATCTCTTTGTATCAAAATTTATCTCTCTAAGTGTCAATAAATCTTTTTCTATCAAAGTAAATTACTCTCTCTATCAATGTTTATCTCTCTCAATGGGAATGAATATCTCTATCATAATATGTCATTCTATCACCAATCTATTAGTTGTGATTTATCCGTTAATTGTAATCAATTTATTAGTTATAATATATTTCTCAATAATGATCTAATTAACAGAAATAAATAATTTCTCAACGATAATCAATTAATTAAATCCACGTATAATTCACATATCACACACATATCATATATCATAAATATCATAAATATCACTTATATCACAAGTCAATCACAAAGAATTAATTCGAAATGATCTATCTTTTAATATGATCTATCTTTCAGCTATAATCTATCTCCTTAAAATCTATCTCTCATTTATAAGTTATCATTTATTTAATAATCCATCTGTCAATCAAGATCAATCTTTTAATCTGATATCAATCTCCGAGTTATGATCTATCTCAATCAAAAATCTCTCTCATTAATAATCTATGTCATCGATCAATTACAATTCTCTCAACCAAAATCAATCTCATCAAACATCAATCTCTCGATCAATAATTTAATATTATATATATATATATATATATATATATATATATATATATATATATATATCATATAATGTATATAACACATATCACAACAACGGATGTTAGAGTAGTGTTGCTCACCTGGTCAGTCGGCATACTAATTCCAGTTTCGGTTTCCATTCTTCGCGGCCTATCAGTTCGTCACATGGTAACACCTAGCCATCACATAACAAGTTCCTCAGAACCTGTCTCAACTCACTACTAGGTATACTCTATGATCACTTATAACAATAATAATCAAATATCATAATATAATCATAACATGCTTAATCCGTAAGTTTTTAACTAAGTCTCTCATAATGGGTAACTCTCAAATATTGGGATGTATAATCCCGACAGTCCCATCTAAATCCAAAATCATAAGATTTACTCACAATCTTACCAACGGGTTTGTAACAGCACCATATCACAAAAACCCATAATATACTCAGGTCTATCAAATCTAAATAATAATCATATATCGTAATTACAATTTAACGGGTAAAAGATACGTCAATGTATCTTGTAACTCAGCCCTCGTATTACCGGCATAATGTTAGAACTCCACTATAGAAATCTCCCTCGAACGAGTCCCCAGCAGCATCACCGATCCCGCGTGCCAAACTCCCTCAAATGACACGAAAAGCTCTTGTATTTATAGTCAGATGCTCCTCACGTCATGACCTCATAGGTGTCACGTCGTGAGGATCTAATTCACTCCGATCTCGACACATATTGTACTTGTTTGCGGCGTATCTTGTTGATCTAACCCATCTCACGTCATAAGCATGTATGCCTCATGTCGTGAGGGTCAATAGAATCTCGTTTTGACACGTATGAACCTCGAACGTTCCGGTGACTCATCGCTTCTCACGTCATGAGATGCTTACTGTCATGTCGTGAGAGTCAAAAGTTTGACCGCTGACTTGGACTTCCGTTGACTTTCTCAAAACAGCAACACACTTTCATCTAAACTTCAAACGGTCATAACTTTCTCATATGTAACAATTGGCAAATTGGGTCAAGTATTGACGATCAGTTACCGTAAGCGTTGATATAATCTAGACCAAATGTACGATACACTAATGTTTATTAAATAAGTTCAAATAGTATTACACTTAATTGCTCAAAAAATTATATATTTTGAACCGAAAGAGTTACGATTTTTCATCCGAGTTCATTTTAAACATTAATATACAATAGGGAGACAGTGACATGAAAACCATAGAATTATACCAGATTGAGCGTGAAACCTTAAAAATTTGATTTCGAAATGGTTTCTACTGTTGGTAATTCATGTCGAAAATAGTTTGGAAATTGAATTCGTTGATTGCAAATCATAACGATAAAATAGTTTAATATTTCAAAAATCGTGTACATTTATATACATACACGTATGAAGAGCGTATTTTTTTAGACAATAAAAATTATGTTATGTGTATATGTTAAGTAATTAAAACTCTATAAAAACACTAAATATATACATATTTATACGTATGTTATGTATCATTCCAAATACCAATTAATTGAATATATGACAATTCGAGCATTTACTATATACAAATCCCGAACTCTTTATATATCTTACCATCATACATAGTAAACCTTGATATAGGAGTGTATAAGTATTGTGCATATGAATTATTGCCTTCAAAAATATAAAACAAAGACACACATAAATACACACATGTATATGACTAAGGAAACTATTAATACATATGAAGACTAATAGAAATTCAACCAAATACATGACTAGATACATGTATGTTACCAGTTTTCTCAATCACAAAACACCTACATGTACAAATAAAGACCAATAGTATGCAAGGTACTCTACAAGATCTTTCCAAGATTGTAGTACATAATTTATCATCAAATTACCTACTAAAAAATATGCAGATGATCAGAAAAGCTTCATCCCATTCCTCACACTCCCATTCTCGGTCTCCCTTCTTCCCTCTTTTGTTTTCCTTTTTCTGTCCAGAAGCTGCCAAGGTGCTCCACCGGAGGTGAAGCTATTTCCGGCGAGACCAAGAGGGGAAACAGCCCCATCTTTGCTCCTTGCTTCCTGTCAATCAAAACAAACAAACACCCCACAAAGACCATTGTTGCTACTGTTAAAACAATAAAGATCGATAGATTCTGTATTTAAGAGACGAATTAATGACAAGAAACAATGATCAAAAGTGTGTCGAATGGTTAGATTAAAACGGCTTTAGAAGAGTTCACAAAAAAGGAACTTTTCTGTAAGAGCTTACAAAAGCGTTAGGGTTCAAAAGCGTAACCTTAATATGTTACATGCTTGCACTATATGTAGACTACGATACTAAGTAGTTCCTAACCTGGACAGGCCCATTTCGGAATAAACAAGACTATAAAAGCATACATTTGACACATCACATTATAGACCTAACAGCTATTATGTCGAATTACACTCACCCTCTTCCTTTCCTTAACTCATCAGAAAAACAAAACCCAAGGGGAGAAGGCTGTTACCTCCATTCAAGCCGCCATCATAGCTCTTCCCCTTTATCTGTCGAATCCCAGCTTCCTTTCTCCCTAGTTCCTGCTCAAAACGAAAGGAAGAAAAAACAAGGAGGCTGCCAAAGCAGCCCCCTGCTCATCCGTTTCACGGCTACTACAATGGTGCAATTACAAAAAAAAAAAAAAAAAAAAAAAAGAAAAAAAGAAAGGGAAATAAATCGACTAGGAGGCTGCCAGAGCAGACCCCCATACGCTCACCTGTGATTATCGAGCAAAACCCACCGGAGCCGCCTGTCCCAACCTTCGTCTCTCCCCTGCTCCCTTCTTTGTGTTCCACTGCTGAAGACGAGAGATGAATCCAAGAGGAGCTCGTAGGAATTCGGATACCCCTATCCCCTCCTCATGATCCCACAACCACCACCGAGCCACCCACCTGCTTTCGTTTTCCTTCTTCTTTGTCCGAACAAGACAATCAGGTGGTGCCCTCCAAGGGATCGGTGACTGCCGCTGCTTCCGTTCACCATCGTCGATCCAGTCAAGCATCGGAGGTGATCCTCTCAGCGCCTCCTCGTGATTTGATCAACCACCACCGGACCCCTTTTGATTTTTGCTTCCTGATTTCCCGGCTTTCATTCATGTTTCTTCCTGTTCGATTGATCAGACGAGGGCATAAAAAGCCCCAAATTCTTTTGTTTGAATCACTTACTAAAATCAACCCCTCAATTGTATAAGTTATTACCAATCAACCCTATTTGTAAATTTTAATCAGCAACAGCCATATTGTTTGTACAATGTTACCAAATTAGCCCTTTTGGTATTTAAGTGACCAATCAACCCTTATTTACATATTTTAAATCAAATCAGCCCTTCATTTGTTTTAAATGATCAAAACTATTTACTTATGATTCAAATCATCACAAGGCTGCCCCTTTTCGTTAAAATTAATACAAACGGTCCCGAGAGTGTTTCAAATCTCAAGAATTGCTAAATTATGGTTTCTCGTGTGAAGCTTCACCAAAACGAATCGGGATTGAGATCATGCTACGAAAGTGAGTTTCTACGGCCCCTCTTTTACTGTTTAAATATTTGGGGGAAAATACATGTGTGTCTAGTAAAGTTTTGATAATTTTCATGTTTTATACACAAGACACCATCATACTTTATTATTGGTCGGAAGTTTATGAATTAGTAATCTAAATTGTAGAAATCATATAAGTTAAAGTAGAATGCTATAAATGACATAATTATCCTTCGTTGTGATATATTAATTAGTAATATTAAAAATCACAAGATTTTGGATAGATTGCTATGATAACATAAGTTAAGATTAAAAGTCATAAAAATGAGGATTTTATATGTATGAGTTAAAGCATCGAATGGAAGTATGAAAAGATATACAAATGGCCAAAATTTTATTTGAGTATAAAACGAAAGTACATGGTCATATTTGATGGAAAGACCAAGATTATGAAAATAGATAATTAAGAGTTTACATTATTAAAAATTTACTTTTAATATATATGAATTATGTAAAAATGACTGTAAAATTTATTAATATATTTTTATATTAATTATAAAATATAACTCAATTTACTAAGTTATGAATTTTTATTGCAATAAATAACATGATATACTTCAGAACTTAAGAGATATATTACATTGTATTAATCACATGAATCATAAACATTATGGAAATCGTTGGTTTCACATTGGTTGGAACCTGGAAAATATTATATAAACAACCGTTATGCTGTCTAAATTTCGTCATAACAGATAATAAAATTTAGAAATGTGTTAAGTCTTGCGAATCTCAAATGCCATAAGACTACAATCAATAATAAACCCAAAACATCAAAGAATTATAGGTGTTCGATATACTTATAATGGAGAGTTTAGGATTAGGATGCCTATACATATTGTTAGGATCCATCATACCCACAGGGCGTTTTATATGAGCTACGTTTGTTTCTAAATTCTTTATGAGTTAGGATCATTTCCTAAGCTGCATGGGCTATGTTTGTAACCACACTAAGGCTGTACATCTTAGCGGAAAGTCCTCTGTGTCATAACCGTTAATCAGTATGGAACGAGGAACGTCGAGTATAAGTTCTGGATTACATACTTATACGGGTTGACATCCCACCATCGGTTGCTAGCTACAACCATCGGCTGATGAGTCGAGCTTGGGCGTTGGCATTTCCTTCTCTAATTTTTTCATCACGTCATGAAATACGTGGTGTGGGCTTTGTTCGTCGGTTATGACCTCGTTTTAGACCCTGAATGTACTACTGTTACCGTATAGGATTGAAATAGGATAGTATACAGAGATTTTGTCCACTTATACTAGTTGAAAGAGACTATATGTAGTGGGATAGCTTGTGACTCAAAACGATAAGTGTCAATACCAGAAATTAAGTCATATAATACTTAATTAATATCATGACACGACTGAACGAGGTTTATTAACTTACAATTAATAAGTTATTTATATAAACCCTTTGTTTTTACACGAAAACACAATATCTATATGGGGAGGAGTTTGCCCCACTGGTTACGTGTCGATTTCTAAATTAAGTAAGATAATACTTAATTAATACCACGACATGAATTTACAAAGTTTATAAATTCGAAACTTATAAGTTTTACTTATAAACTATATAAATGTTTGTACAAAGTTTCAAGAGTAAATCTGACAATTTTATGTTTTCACAAATAGTGATATGACTTTCTTTTATATAAATTGGTATTCAAAATCTGTATATAAAAAGTATTTTGGTCATGAGAACCGTAAAGATTTGATATAAGTTTGATTTACTTATATATTCAACAAATGGCGTATTTTTAGATTTGAGCAAATGATATTTTTAAATAAGTACAAATACACTTTTAAAACTTATTTTTTTTATACTTTTGATCTAAAAACACATATTTATAAAAGCTGGTTAACCAGAGAATTGTTACAAAAACACTTGTGATTATAAAAGTACTTTGTGCCAAAACCTGTAGAACTCACCAAAAATTTGGTTGACGTATCTTAATGCATGTATTCTCAGGTTAACTAACAGCTCGGAAGTGTTCACTCAGAAGACTCTCCATTAATTATATTATACAGTTGTAAACGCCGGATTGTTAGGCATATGTCTCAATTTAACAATAGCCATTATCAATGTAATTTCTATTTCGGTTATAATAGAAGATTATATTTGTATTATTCATTATATGTTCAATAACTGTGATCATTGATTTACGTTGCACACCTCAGTGTTTCCGCCGGCGGCCGGGGGTGTGACATCATACGAACTCCGTTTTCAACGATTTTTGTACCCACGTAATCCTCTCAACCAACTCTAAAACATTTATCAACTATCTTTTGATAAATAACATTTAAAAATTTAAATAAACTTCATGCTATATTTCATTTACTCTTCTTATAAGATTCATATCTCGTAAATAATACTTGATACTACAACTAGAACCAGGTGTTATAAGCTTGTCTTTTTTGTAGACACAAATAAACTATGGATCATAAGCACTTCATCCAAAACTCTTTTAATAAGTGCCAACACATAGATTATGCTCAATATAATACCCTCTTCATTTCAATTCAAGGAGAAAAAACGAAAATGAAATGAAGAAAATTTATGTTAAGCAAGTTCATTCACCAAAAGCATAAGAATGAGCAATCCTCAGCATGAATTGAGACTAGTTTTATTATACCATTTTTATGTAAATCCAAAACCGTGCTCTATCCACTATGATCAAATGAGACATAGCCCGGAGAAAGAACTATTTTCTTAGTCAAAGAAGTTGGTTGAGAGAAAGCAACCATGGCATAATAAACCCTTCTCTGTTGTATTTTCAACAAGATATCTTCAGTTTAGTAAATATACATTGGACAATTCTACTTTTTCCAAGTTGGATTATGATTGTAATGTATTATAAGAGACAATAGAAGGTTAAAAAGAGAGATACTGCATACATCTCGAATGGTCCATTGAGGTCCACATAGTGAATGAAGATTAGAACAGGCACTATAAAAATACCAAATTCGTTGGCCGTGGAAAGGTTAAAACTTCAAAAACAAATGATGCTTACATTACAGAATAAAGAAAAAATATCTCACTTGATTCCACCGTTGTTCATGCAAAAATACAGGATGTAATATCTTTATAACCTTTCTCATGTGGCGTTCATTCCAAATTAATAACCAAAAAAATGATACGAACCTATCTCATACTAGGCTCGTATCATGCCATAAGCCCAAGTGTAGAACTCACTCCTAAAAGCTAGCTTAAAAGAAGAGAGGACACCTATAATTATAAGCTACTAATCAAACTTTCATTTGGCCGATGTGGGATCGTAAGAATACCCAACGATTTGAAGAGACAACGTCCTCGTTGGTCATGGTTGGCACTGAAAGATCTAGTATGCTCAAGAGTCATATTAAAGTGATATTGTTAAATAACATATGATACTAATGGGTCACACTAACAACAACTTGATACAATTGATTATTTATTATAAATTGATTTTAATAAATATTCAATAAAACTCTTATAATTAAACTGGAAATTATTTATTTCATGGAAATAATAAATTCCATTAGCAAGTAACTTAATGTATATCATATGGTATGATTTATAAGTCATGTATAAACTTTTGGACTAGTTGAATCCTTTTGTATTTTTCCTAAAAGACAAGGTTTATATTTTATAAAAGAGTTTATAAAAGTTTGACTTTCTTTCTTCTTCTTTATGAAATTTTCGAGATATGCATAAAAAGAAGAAGTGTATGACTTGTCTAATCATGCTTTAAAGGCATGGGAGACATGCTTATGACAATGGGGACAAGTTTTCTTAAAATGATAAGGACTAATGGTTACTACCTTCACTTTTTGCATATAAATATGAGGCTTGCATTCTTGAAAGAGTGCTCATTCCTTCTTCTCTTCTCTATGGCCGAGAGCTCTCTAGGAGACTCTCCTTCTCTTATTTGCTTTGAGTTATTGAAGATTACTTGGATATATTTTGCTCTATTTAAGTTCATATTGGTTATGAACTTAAAGCTTAAGGGTTTAAGAGTTTTGGACTAGCATCTACATCAAGTTGAGTCATTGTTGGTGTCTTAAAGGTTCCACATTCTTCATCAACTTCCAAGCCTCCCAAGAGGACCCAAAGAACTAGAAAGTTTGTTATTTCTTAACCTCTTCTTTGGTTAGTGTTTTAATATTTCTATAACTTACAAGAAGATCCTTGGTGGGTATAAAATGTTTATGTTACTTCAAAATAAAAGTCTTCCGTTGCCATATCTTTCAAGTTTATGAAACTAATTTTGATCTAAAACCCAACAATTGGTATCAGAGCCATCTTGCAAGTTTGGTTAGATTTTTGATTTTTGGAAATCTTAGTTTTTGGAGAATATGGATAACTTGTTTTTGTGTAAAAATAAGTTCATACATATTTTCTATGACAACTTTTTTATTTTATGTGACAAAAGTTTCATGCATATTTTGTCATTTAAAGTT